CTTGTTGCCAGGCGGGGAAGCAGGCTGAGCGCAGTTCCTCCTCACAGACATTGTAATCAGCATTTGTTTAGTGTTATTATATATGTGCCTAAGAGAAGGAGGCTTGAGGGGGTTATCCTTCCTTCTTCCAAGTAGCCAAAGTGCTCACTGTGAAGCCCCATAAGGAGAGGAGGATTGCCGAGTGGGATCCTGCTGCTGGCCCGCTTTGACAGCCTGATTTAGAGGTGCTTTTTCGTACCTCTGACACAGAGTCCCAGCCGGCCCCGCTCTACTGCAGGGGCTGGAAGAAGAATGGCGGTGCTTATCCTGAAAGCCTGTTATTTGTGTGTGTGTGTTAACGTGTGGGTGTGTTTGTAAGAGAGTGCATCGGCTCGTCTGTGTGTGTGTGTTTGCTCACACAGCATGCTGGCATTTCTTTTTGAACAATCTCTTTTGTCAGTCACCGAGATGTCGTAGATTGTGTGAGCACAGCAGATCTCTTGTACCCCGCCAGTGTACGTTCACACACACACACACACGCACAGTTTTTGAATCTGTGTGTGTGTTTTCCGTGGTCCAGATGGAAGTGCTTATTGAGTGCTGGCTCATATCTTTTTCTCGACGAGAGAAAATGAGGGAGGAAAATGAGGAAGTGAGAAAGCCGAGTGGAAAACCCTTCCAATCAGATCCGTCATCTTTGTGTGTTTATGCCAGTGTATGTGTGATCTTCCCTAGCCGGCTCTCCCTGCCTCCCCTCTCTAATCTTATCATGTCGGAGCAGCAGATTAGTCCTCCCAGATCCCATCTCTACCTCCAAATGCCACAATCAGCCTTTTGTTCTTCGCTTGTGCTTACTCTCCCCTTGCGGCTCGGCAAGGTGAACACTCCTGAAACCCGCCCCCTGTGCCATTTTGAGCCCCTGCCTGTCAATGTCACACCGCAACGAGCCTCCCGTGCCCCTGGGGCGTTAGCTAACTGAGCTTTTAGCCCAGCAACCTGCTAGCCTAGCTGAACTGCTTGACATTCCTTGCTAACACTGAGCTGCTGCTGCTGCTGCTCTTGTCTGTTTGACCTCCTCCCTCCTCCCTCCCTCCCCCCCCCCCCCACCCCCTCACTCTCTGCTTTCTCCTTTGTCTGTGTCTTTGGGATCTGTCTTTCCTTCCTTCTGGCTGCCACCTCCTGAAGGAAGTCCTAGATCCCGGGCTGCTGATGTCACTAGTGAGGGGAGGGAGGGATGGAGGAGGAGGGGCGGGGCGGGGCGGGGGGGGGGTCACTAACAGGGTTAGCAGAGGAAGAAGAGAGTGTTTGAAAAGCAGAGAAAATAAACAGAGGTTTCCTGTTAACGAGGTGCACTGGGGGCCTGTCGTGTGGGAGCGAGAGGGTCTGGTTTTGTTTAAAAGAAGCTCTAGTGTTACAGTGCGGAGAGGAGGACGATAGGGCATCAGGTTTGAGGGTTACAGGTTGAAACAACGAGTTGTGTCACTGTACGGCTTGGCAATGACCGTATTGTAAAGAGCGCTCTAAACAGACGTTGGAGAAAGCCTGGGCTCACTGCTACCGCCGTGAATGGCATTAGCCTTGCCATTGGTTTTGAATCAAAAAGCACTGTATTGATTTCACACTCTCTTAGTTGAAAACGTGGAATTAAGCCCACACTAAGTGCATCTTTTAAGTGTACGCCTAACAGAGCTGGTTTTCCTTTTCAAAATGTGAAAGCCTGTTCTTGTTAAAAAGGAAAGTCTGCCCTCTAGATTTCCCTCTCCCCTCCAGTCTTTGTAGTGGTGTGGTCGTACACAGAGGCCCCCGCTCCAGAGTTGACTGCACACACATGCAGCCTCACAAAGAAAACTGCACAGCCATTAGAGATCCAAGGGGCCAGCCACCTTCAGCTAGTCAGAGGGAGAATGAACTGACTCACAGTGCCTGACTTGTCTTGGCTGCTTTTAGAACAGTGATTTGTTTCACATTAATAATGATTTTAGATTCATCCTGCAAGAAATATACTTAAAGTCTCATCCCGTTTATAACCTTTTGAGGCCCTCGTTTAATCCAACCCCTGTTTGATGAGTATGCCCAAGAATGCCACAGGCCAGGCTGAGGCACTGGAGAGAGGAGGGGGACCATTGTGCTCAGCCCCCAAATCATGACTCTCAGATTTATATCTCCTCAATGAATAAAGGGGCAGCCTTGTACCCTGGGGGTTTCAGTAAAGCAGGAGGAGGATAGTTGTAATTGTAAGTCTGAGGAAATGAGAAGGTCCTGCTCCTCCTACCTTAATCCAGCTCCTCATTTCTCCTTTGCTCTGCTTCCTTGCACTTTTTTCTTTTCTCCTGCTCTTGTTTCATTTCTTTCCCTCAGTAGTGGGTTAGTAAGTCTTTTGGCCTCTCGGCAGTGAGCAGCATTCCCAGGGTTTAGGGCCCAGGAGGAGGGAGGGCAGGGCCATGTTTAGCCTCTGGCAGGACAGACAAAGATGGCGGACATTGTGCGGGGCTCAGCTCTCTACAGGCAGCGTGGAATGTCTCTAATCAATTCAGCATTGTGGTTCCCTCTTATATGTTCTCTCTCTGTTATTTTCTATGGCAGGCTTAGAAAAAAACCCAGACAATACAACTAGTGGTTCGTAAGGCGAGTCTGAGCTGTCTATCATCCCCCTTCATTTTCTCTTTTTGCGTCATCTACTCATTTTTCCACCCCGCATGTTTATAGAATTGTGATAATTGAAAGCTATGCTTCACTCCCACTACGTGCTCCATATGTTGCACTCTCAGTCTGTCTCTCCATCTCCCTCCCTCCCTCGTTTGCCTGAGAGGGCTTAACGCCGCTGTGAGCTTCTAAACAGCAATCTGCTCGGGAGAGCGACAGCTATGTAGCAACGAGGATACTGATGATAGCTGAAGTTACGTTTGCTCTCTGTGCTTTAGTTTGTGGGCTCATGAGTAGGGCTGCTCGATTATGGCAAAAATCATAATCTCGATTATTTGGGTCAATAATTGATATCACGATTATTCAAAACGATTATCCATTTACTTTGAAAACATCAATTTATTGGAGAAAAACAATTTGAACAGTATGTTTTTAACAGTTGAGTACCCTGAACTTTAAGTATAATTCAACTGAAAAACCAATTTTTAAAAAAAGTAATTTAAAAAAAAAAAAAAGTAATAATAATAATAAAAAAATAATCGTTTTATTTCGATTACGTTGTTTTCGTAATCGTTGCAAGCCATAATCGTAATTGCGATTAAAATACGATTAATTGAGCAGCCCTACTCATGAGTAAGGTGTAAAATCTGTGAGTGTGATTGCGTCTCTCCACCTGCTTTTCTATTTGCATCAGGCTCTATGTCCCAGCTCTCAGAAATCCCTTTGATTTTGTGGTTTTACAGGCAGAAAATCAAATGTTCAGGTAGCACTCTGACAGTGTTTACAGTCTTTTTACAGTATTAATTATGTATAAGCAGCGGATAACTACTCATTCTGCTGTTGCAGGCAGTCTGTTAGTCTAAAAGGCAACAGTGTCTACACACTGGATAGACAAGAGATTGATATGGGTGGGCTAACTGCCGGGAGGGGGAGCGACATGACGTCATTGCACACATTTCTTCACACACCGTATGTTTTAGGTGCTCTGGGGCTCTGTGTCTCGGTCCATCAGTATGGCTTTCTGCTGAATCACAAGCAAAGTGTTGTGCGGTTGTGTTATGTTGTGTGATGTTGCGTGTACAATATCTCACAATCATCCGGAGCAGTTAACGCAGCTGACTGACTGCGTGCCAGCTGCTGTTTAACACGTCCAGGCTCACTTACTCAGTCGTTCCTCCTCCATGCTCAAGGATGGAGAAAGGGAGGAACGAGGGGAAGAAAATGGAGAGGAGGTGAAGTGGAGGGTTGGAATGAGAAAGATGGAGATTGAGGCAGGGAGGAAGAGGAGGAAGCAATGGAGAAAATGGGAAAACCAGAGGTGGGCTGGAGGGTTTAGGGAGGTGATGATTTGCTTGGCTGCGTGTGCTCAGCCTCCTCCCCAGTGGCAAAACAGAACAATGTACTCTAAAGGCTTTAAATATCTTTTCTCTGACCTCATGTTCCTGCACACACAGATACAGTTTAGAGCCTGGAAGGAGCGGAAGTTACACTGTCTGTCTTAGATTACCACAGACTTTTCCCCATTCTAGCGTTTTTCCATATGCTCATTTCTCCTTTAATCCACCGGCGGTGCAGGTGTCTTAGCCGGTTAGTGCAGTGCAGCGTGGCCAGCTCTCTCGTAAAGATGACTGTGTCGCAGTCCAGCACCCAGCTCTCTAATGTTCTTCCAAAGCAATGTGACAGTCCGTTTGGCTTATGTGAAGGCACAATAAATATTTTATAACATGAAATGAAAACACTACTTTGCCCTTTTCATCTCTCACCTCAGCACTGGCCTCAGTTTCTACCATTTTCTTCCATCCCCCCTTTATCCCTCCCTCTCGGTTTGTTCATTGACTGGTCCTGGAGAAGCTCTTTTCTCACCTCAGTGCTGCCACTTGCTGGTCATCTAAAGGATTACACGCCTTTGCTGATTTGCACGTTATCAAGTGGCCAGTGGGTGGCAGCACTTATAAAATATAAAGCCCAAAGCACTGTTAAGAGATACAGTGCATGTTCACGAGGAAACCTTAATAGCCTTCTTAGTATTTGAAAATCATAAGAGCATTGTCATTGAGGGAAAGGAAGGCAGATATTGAACACTCATGCCCCCCCCCCCCCCGGTTCCTCTATTTCCCCTTCCTCCAGCAACAGCCATTCCTCTGTTTACTTTATGAAGGCTCTAAATGCTCGGCAATCCCTTTTTAATTGACTTGGTCGCTCTGCAAGCTTTTTGGCATCAGCCTGTGTGAGTCATAAACAGAGCTACTGCGCAGCGTCTGTGTTTGCCAAGAGGCCAGTTTGTGACATCGTAATCAAACAAAATGATGTCTGTTTATCTTGGTGTCCGATCATTTTTGTTCTCCTGCTGACTCGCTGTGTGTCTCTCTGTGTTGCAGAGTAAACGGGACCATCTGCTGATGAATGTGAAATGGTACTACCGCCAGTCAGAGGTGCCCGACTCCGTCTACCAGCACCTGGTGCAGGATCGCAACAATGAAAACGGTGAGGCTGCCTTTTGTTCTCAAAACACATGTGCATATATACAGTACACACAAACACAAAGCCAATACACTCACTCTGTAACGCAACACTCTCTCCTTCACACACACACACACACACACACACACACACACACATACACACACACACACACATTTGCCTCCAGATTGTTGTGGGATATAAGAGGTGTTTGCATTTCAAATATAAACCAGAAGACAGTTACCCAGGCAGCCCAGCCAATCCCGTGGCTCCGTGCTGTTCCCCAGGTAACCCTCCTTCAGGCCAGACAGCAGCACTGTCGAGTGTTAATAAGCCGCAGTGTCATTTGGCCTTTGAGCACACACTCTGAACACCATCAGTGTCAGTGAACTCATCACACTCTAACACATACACATCTACAGGAACACAAGCACTGTCCATGGGCTTTAGCAGCTGTGATCTAATCCTAATGACACCAAGGAAAGGTCATGGTGGAAAATCTGATTTAACATAGACATGTAATAGTTGGGATAATCAGTTAACACTTCGATTTGAAAAAATAGCTTTTTCTTTATCAACAAAACTATCTTCACGGTTTTATTTTTATTATTATAAACAATTAAAAAATGCTCAGTCTTGGCAGCAAATACAGTATACCACGAAGTGAACAGTTAAATAAATAAAATCATAGTGATACAAATAAAGGTGAATATACTGATATTACAGTAATTACAATGTACAGAAATCTTGAAGATCACATGGGCTGCAACATTTTTCATCCGATTCTAATTTGATGATGTTATTAATGTTCTTAAATATCAAACACATAACAAGTGTTGGGTTGTTTTGTTTTTTTATAAGCAGTTTGATTTATTTGTATTTGGTTTTAAAAGGTAAATATTCCCAGGTGACTTTTTTTCTTTAAAAATACTAAAACCAATGAATTGATTTTGAGAAAAGTTTTGCAATTTATTGATTTGTTCAAAAGAGGGAACCAATGTGCACACATCAAGGCAAAAATAGTTTGCTCCTCGGTTTGCCCTTTCTACAATAATACAAGTATCACTTACATCATAGACATGGATCAGTTTAGTTATGTCATTGAGCAGATCCACTGTGTGCTGTTTCCTACAGAAACTTCTTCAGTGCAGCGCTCGCAGCAGGGATTTAGGATTATTAGAATTGATGTCACAAGGCCCGAGCACAGCGGTAACACCACGGCATTTCTCGGGTCATTTGTCACGACGAGTGCCAACCCGTCTTGGTGCTGCTTTCACTAGTGAGAACTGAACATGAAGTCCTCACCTCAGGGGAATGCACTTTATTGGCTTTATTGAATTATGTGGCAGATTATTGACCTCTGCAGAGGCACTTGTTACTTGCATGCTCATGATTTTCATTAGTGTGTTCAACTACAAAAGCTACTTCATCTCTGTTCCCTCTTTGTCGTAGATAGATGATGTCATGTAGATATATTCAGTACATTGGTTTTATTCTCCCTGCAGACTCTGGCCGGGAGCTGGTCATCACAGACCCCGTGGTCAGGAGTCGAGAACTCTTCATCTCTGACTATGTGGACACTTATCATGCTGCTGCTCTCAGGTAAGCAGACAGGAACACACAAACGCACACTCACTGTGAATGTTGCTAGGACTGAGCTTTGAAAAACTGCTTTTCATTTTTGACTCCAGGGACACAATACAGAACCTCCTCAAAGAAATGTGATCTTAAATCTCAAAACCTCTACTGTGTTTTATTTTATACATTGTATTCTATCTGTAAATGTGTCTATCCTGATAGCATAATTCTTGGTAATTTTGAAACATAATCTTTAACTTTTTATGTCCTTTTTTTATTTTAAATATCCAACTGTATCTGTCGTAATTTTTATCATTTTAAAGTGGCTTTTACTATTTGTCTAGTAAGACACAATTACAACGTATCTGTATTTTTCTGAGCAGTGGCAACAAAATAGTAATATGTCAGTGTTACTGCTGTGTTTCTATCAACTTCCATTAACCAACTAAAAAAAAATTCCAGTTAATTGCTCTGTTAATTAAAAAATGATATACTAACCTCTGGTGCTGGGACTAGGTGCTGTAGAAGTAGCCCATATGTGTAAAGATGCAAAGCCTGAAATGAGACACATGCCTCAGGCTGTCTTCTATTAAAACACTGATTGAAATGACTGTGCATCAACTCCTATATACACACACCTGTCAGAATATGAGCCTGTCTGGTGAAACTGATGGCACTGCTGTGTGTCAGGAGAGAGGAACACAGGCTTCATCGTTTCCTTGGTCTGAAATCAGATATTCTGTGTTCCTGCCTCTACATCCATTCTTGTCTGACCACCTCTCGCACTTCCCCTTTTCTTTAACCGAAACCATGTGTGAGCCGAACAGCAGTGGGCAGTCAGAAGCATGTCTCTTAGAAACCACTGATTTCAGGGCAAATTAGCTGCAACTTCTCCTACACAGAGCAGCCTTTGATTTGACTTATTTTCCAGGCTTTAGATAAACGGGAGTGAATTCCAGTGGGATGCTGTAATGCCACAGCTTTCTGAACACTGCTCTTCTTAGCGCCCTTTAATCTTTTCAGGGGGAGGAAGATACTTTTTCTCTGCAAGGCCCGCAGCACCATATGCCTGTGATATCTGTTATGTAGATAGAGCCAGACACCAGTGTGCTGAAAACAGGAAATGGTATCAAGATGTGCTCAGAGCCGTCCTCTCGGCAGTGGGGGAATGTGTTGGAAGGCGCACAGGTTGAATTCCTGTCCCGACCCCTGCAGTGTGTGTCTCCCACACCTCATCTGCAAGACTGGCATGTTCAGCTGGTGTTTATGGGTTCAGTAGCCAGAGCCTGGTGTCTCACAGAAAAGTCAGCAGGCACTGACAGACAGGCACTACATACCTGCTGCTGCTGCTGCATTTGTCACTTCCAATAGATGAACAGCCCAAGAGCTTTTAATTAGAACCGCTGGGGTATCACTTTGTCATGCTGGTGTTTTGTCTAATAAAGCCTTTCTTCTCTTTCACAGGGGGAAATGCAACATTTCGCATTTCTCCGACATTTTTGCTGCCAGGGAGTTCAAAGCCCGCATCGACTCCTTTTTCTATATCCTCGGATATAACCCAGAGACCAGGTAAGGAGCTTTCTGTCCACTCAAGTCAACTGATAGAGACCCTTCTTATTCCCTAGCAGGCCAAACATGCAAGGTCCACTCTCAGCAACTATCATATCATTTCATTAAAATAGGGCTGCAACCAACAATTTCTTTCTTGATTTAACCTTATAAGATGTCAGTAAAAAGTGATGAAGGCAATCACAATTTCTCAAGACCAAGATGATTTCTTCAAAATAATAAAAAAATATATATTTGTAACATTCCAAAGCCCCAAAATATTATCTATCCCATAAGGGAATAGCAGCTCACAAGTCAAAAGCCTTAACTAATAGTATAGTAATGTGAAGCATTATTACACTGTATTAAACAATGATTACATTAACCAGTTTTTCTAAACAATTATCAAAGATATTATTAACATCCTGTTCGTTTGATTGATCGCATTATCGTTTTAGCTAGGAAGTCAAAGTTAATGGGTGGGTTCAATTTAATAGAAACTATAGCCATTAGTTACAGCTGAGCAGTTTACCGATGTAAGATTATATGAGACAAGATGGGTATTTATGGAGTGATATCACAACGTTACCCTATAATAAATACCATATAGGTAGATTCAGAGTGATCATAGATATCAAGTAATGAGTCAAATTTATTGGGATATTTGCTTTTTTAAGTATCACTCGGCACATTTCAGAAAGGGAGATTAACAATGTACATTTTGTCATTTTCATTACGCATGTGCTTTCTTCTTTTTTGGCTTTGGTTGCACAGTGTTATGTGTAATGATGCTTTCTGCTCATTACTGCTGTCAGTGTTATCAGTGCACAAAGGATGGTTCTAATGTGGTGTCATTATGGGAAATGAGCCGGGGAAAACCCTGTGGCTTTATAATTGTGGGTGCGTTTGTGGATATTTGTCAAATTACATGTCAAGTTTAATCATTGATCTTTTTTGTTAATGTTAAGATAAAACATTTAAAAATCCACGAAAAGCTCATCAGGTAGTCCCTTGTTTGATTAGGATGACCTGCCTTTTTCACACAAGACATTTTGACACCTCACAGTATGAAAAGCACATAAAAAAAAATACAATTAATATTGATTGAATTTCGCCTATCCGCTTAAGTTTAGGATCCGTGTTTTGTGGATGCTGGCTCAGTGTCGAATTACAATGGGAAAAAGTGCTATCATTAATGTTATTAGTAAATCCAGTTCTTCATCTGTTATGGAAAGTCAAAATGTCTGCTGTGAAAAACCACTGGCGCTTATATTAAAACACTACATTTGTTTCATCATGTCTAGTGGCATTGTTGATTATTGGTCATTTTTGTAATTGTCATCATAGTTCAATTCATAATAATACAGTAGTTTTGGGTTATCAGTGCAATTTAATATTATTGTATTACTGGAGTTTTAAATGTTAGTATGATACCCTATGATATCTTGTGTATTTAATTACATTCTTTGTTACACTGATAATAACAACATCTCCACACAGTTGAAATTCAGTTTAGTTCAGTTTATTACGATCATTGTGAGCTGGGGTCCACAAAACTGTGGACAATGCACTTATGTACTTGCATAATAACCATACATTGCAGAAAATACAGGGGAAGATTACAGCTCAAGACAGACAAGACAAGCTCATTAATATGTGTAATGCTAGAAGAGAAATACATTAGAATAAATATTTTGGCATACGTTTTTTACAGCTTTATTTAAATAATTTAACACCTATTCCCAATAGAAACAATGTAAATGTCGAAGGGTTTACTAAACATGATAAATGGAGCAGTTAATATCGGTGCTCAGGCTAAATTGGTGATTGTTATTATGCACTGGTGGTGTTTGGTGTCTCACGTGTTGCAGTGACGGCTGTCCCTGTTATTGGCACTGAGGGTTGCCTGTTGGGAACCCCCTCCTTCAGGGGCCCTGCTCAGTCTCCCCCTCCCTCCCCCTCTCCTCCTCGCTTGGTATTCTGAGCGGGTTGTCTGCAGCCTTGCAATTTCACTCTTGTTTATTATGGCGCAGGCAGACGCGGAGAGATGAATTCCGTATCCTGCATGCGTGTCTGTCTGTCTGTGTAAGTGTGTGTCTGTGCGCGTGTGTGCTGTGTGAGGTCGCAGCACATGCTCAGTTGTGTCTATAGAGGAGCTCGCGACGCTGAGGTCACAGCACAAGCTCAGTGAATACCTCTCCGGAGCGAATGCGTGCTTCTCCATTTTGAGCACCTAAAATAGGTGGGAGAGGGGAGTTAAATCCAACGAGCAATATACACACATTGTCACCACCCAACCTTAGGGCTCGATGTCAGAAATGGACGATTTGTTCAGTCCCCGGAGGTAGGTTTTCGATTATATTCTCGTGCTTTCTCGTGCCGATATTACTAGCTGTGTAAGCGTTGTCTCATTTTCATGAGTCTCGTGTCCAACGGCATGATGTTTCCGAGCTTTCCACATCGTTGTCATTGTGATAACCGAATGTTTTTGTGTCGGGGAGCAAGCTAGCGAGTGTGCACGTTTTGTCAGTAGCAGGAACATTGAATGCTTTTGAACATGCAGGCTGTCATCGCAGAGCACATACCGTTACGCGTTTGCGCTGCAATAATAGACATGCCGCTGCATCACACCTCTATTAATACGTTACTATCAGAGTACAGATACATGCATCTTGTGTGCGATGCATTAACCAGTATGAGGCTGATAAATATGCAGCCAGTCTGCTTATATGACGGTGATACACCCGGAGATGCTAACCTTAACCTGGCTCCATTTTGCAGCTCCTGTTTACAATCGGGACGACATGGCGCATGCTGCTCTGCACACAAAGCTCTGCCGGCGGCTTAGCTGTGTTGTGTGCACGCTGCCCGCCATGGTAGTTAAATACCATCAAGTTGGGTCTGTTTTGCTGTGCTGCAATTATGTCAGTGTGCCACAGACTCGCGCCGTGATTGGCTGAAATTGATAGAGGGGGGCGGGGCCATCCTTGATTACATACACACAGAAAGTTGACCAGACTGTCACGTTGTTTTTGTTTGGGTTTAATAAGTAAGCCTGTAATTATTCGGCAAGACTGTGTCCTTATGCAGAATTAGATCTGACTTTGTTTTGTGTAACAACTGAGCATGTTTTACAATGTTTATTGTGCTAGGCAACAGGCTTTTTGCAGCTTATTGTAAGTAGAAAAGAAAACAACTAAAATAAGTCAGTATTAATACGTCTTAGATGATGCTCTATAAATAGTGACGAAATTAAAAGACTGGATTCTGTATCATTTCTTCTTCCATGTTTGATTGCTAAAAACTAAAACTATGATATTATATTATGTTATTTTTGCTGCACATATAGCCTAATAATAATAATAATAGTTGGTAAGTTTGCCTCAGTAGGCTTCTTCTGTTCAAGTATACCTGCAGTCTTTAAGCAAACTCCTGAGAGCTTCCTGCTGCGATACATCTGTATTCTGCCTCCTCTCTTAGGACCTGAGCAGCATTCCTTCTGAATGTAGGCCGTCTGGATTTGCCTGAGTAAAACATGGCTGTTCTTATTCTGGTGCACAGGTCCTCGTTTGTCATCCTTACAGTCTCCTGCCAACAGACTTGGCCGACTGCACATTGTCAGGAACACATTTGTAGAACATTTTCCTCTCAGCACGAACACAGATTCACATTCAGGTAGTCCGTAGACTACATGCAGGCATTCATTCGGTAAAACTATTCAGCAGTGTAGATAAAAAGTACAAATGTACCACATTCCGTTTGTAAGATAGATAGATAGATAGATAGATAGATAGATAGATAGATAGATACATAAGAGAAATTAAGACACTAGACACTTTATATTTTTATTCAAGTTTCGTTCAAATGTAATCAATCCATATAAATTGTTAGTTATTAGTGGGCCTCCATCTGCAATTTATATCATATTGATATATTTCTCGATAAATCCTAAAGTTCTTCAGTCTATAAAAGGTCCGAAAATATCACTCAGTGTTTCACAAAGCCCCAGGTGACATTCTTTTTACCACACTGTCTTAAAGGAATAAATAAATCAGAAAATATATACATTTAGGAAGTTTGATAAGAAAACCTTTTTTTTATGAAAACCGATATATCAGTTATTAAAGTAATGCAAATGACTTTATTAGCTAAAAACTAATCTATTACTTCTCGTAGTTCTGGATTTACATTTGTTAGTTCCTTGCTACTGGCAAGTAATAACAATTCCTAAATGTTCAGTTAAATAACGGCAGGAGAGATGCTGCTCAAAGTAAAGCACAAGTATTATTAAATCTTTATAAAAACCTTCAATATGGAATCTAAAATGCTGATAAAAAATGAAAGTCATATTTATCAGCCCTATTCATTGCTGCAATATCGCACAGCCTGCCAAATTGCCTTACATTAAGTTAGCCTACTGGGAATGTTTATAACAAAATGAAATAAAGTATTTCGGCATGTTCTGGGGCAGCAGGCGTTCCTGGCAGGCCCGGGGTCATTTACTGCAGGTTTTTTGTATTGGCCTGTGCTGATATCATCAGTGCCAGTGTCTGTCAGCCATAGTTCATAAGAGTATATGGATTACTCCTCTAATCGCTCTCCCCTGTCTGTGAGCTGCGGCTCTGTTTAAGAAGGGAGAAGGGGAGTTGGGTCAGATCTGAACCTTCACAGTGTTTAGTGGTCTGAGGACTGTAAAGAGTCCAGAGGGCTGCGGCCTCTCAGGTTTCTTCCAGCTCTCCGTGATGGAGTGCGAGCTTCTCGGGGTGCAAATCACGCTGACAGATTCTGGGCCGCCCCGCACTTGGCTGCATGAAAATTGGCGCTGTTACCTAGGCAACAGAGGGAAAGGCTTTTCAAAAGGAACATCTTGTGATTTTCTTTAATCCGCTGCAGCTGGAGATTCTGAACACTATTATTAAATTGCAGTTGCTATGGCTACCAACATTTGTAGCTGCAGCCACTCGCCCTGCAGAGCCAGCTCCCCCCACCTCCACTTCTTTTAAGGGGATTCTGTTTTATTGCTGCATCCACAATATCAGGCCTGTAAATTTGCTCCGCTCAGCTCGCTGTGCAGGAACGGTCGACTGGGAATATTCTCCTGAAATCTTTATTTGCTTTACAGAATAAAACACTATATGCTTTTCTCACATATCTGAAAATACTTCCACAGTAGGAGGTACAGCCCTTGTCCCCTCGCTCTGTATCTGATCCTGACCAGGCCATGAAATGTTCCTTTTTCTGACATTTTCTTGTGAAGTTTCAGTATCTAAGGATACCCAGTTGTGACTTTGTACTTTGTGTTGTTTAGCTGATTCAACAGGCACAATGCAGCCAGGCTTCTTTCAGCTAGCCTTGAAATGTTGCCAAGTAAATATTTAGTTTCAATCTGCTGTCTTTGTTTCTTCTCAGGCGACTAAACAGCACACAAGGGGAAATCCGAGTGGGACCCAGTCACCAAGTAAGTCATTGTACAGCACACATCAGCCAGCTGTTGACTCCAGAGATTTCTCTATTGTTGTTGAAGACAGCTTGCAGCAGCCTCTTTGCTGCAAAGTTGTCTTGGATTTGTGGATTTTATTACCACAAAACATTTAAAGTTCTAATCCCTTAATTGCTATTTAGTCTGATTCATGGCATTGCTTATAATTTATGTATTATAGTCTTGCCACTCAGATTTACCACAATGTATCTGCAAATGACTTTAAAATCAGATAATGATTCCAGTGTGTATGTAATACAATACGACACTTTCTTTAGTTAACCATGATGGAATCAAGATTCTTTAAAGCAGACGCATTTAAATAGGAATTTGCATTAAGTTTGCATTATAGCTTTTTACAGTAACATTTGCATCTGCCAGCCAAAGCTGTAGTTAAAATGTGGTGTAGCTTTCTGTAATAACTGTGTGTACTTATACAAACTTGCTTAAGGTTAAAACATATTTATGATAACACTACATTTAGGTAAGTTTTGTTTATAGCAAAAGGGAAAGTGATCCGAGTACTGCAGCTCTGTGTTGTGTTAGGATATTGATCACTCAATCATTGTGACTGTAACTTGTCCCCGCTGTCCCCACCTCGCCTCTCTGTGAAAACTTGATGACAGGGAGTTGAAAGCTGATACTTTTTAAAAGCTAGCTTGCTATTTGTAGTGTGTCACCATCTGTCCCTCTCCTTCTCCCTGGACATAATTAGGCAAAGCTCCCCGAGCTGCAGCCTTTCCCCTCTCCTGGGGGCCAGGCCGTGACCGAGAACGAGGAGCTGGTCTGGATGCCGGGGGTCAATGACTGTGATCTTCTCATGTACCTCAGAGCCGCAAGGTGAGCCATTCAGACAGCGGGGCTGCACAGGGCCAACCTGCTAATCCAAGGGAAATCATCAATGAAGTTCAAGATGGTTATTTTAAAATATGAGATCCAAACTCCCTCACTGTATTGAAATAATAAGTAAATATAATACTTTCAAATATCAAAGAGTCAAGCACTGTGTAGGAATTACCATAATGATAACATATTTTGGGAAACAACTAGAGTACTCTTTTCACTACCACACTAACAGGAAAACCTTCTCACGATATTTTTTGCACAATAGAACACATTTTTTAATTTTTTTAAAGTTTGAATAGTTACATGTTTACGGAAATTCTTGCCGTCTACATCTTTTCGGGTTGTAAAAAAAATAATTATTGTTTCATTTGACCATATTATTATTTGACTGCTTATTTTAGTTTAAAGTGGACCTATCATGCTATATTATAATAATATAGTGTAGGACCATACCTATATAAGGCATATTTATACTTTTTTTTTTTCAAAATACCAAACAGATCATGCATTTTAGCCATGCCTCATTTCGCTCAATTTGCACTATTTTACCCCTGTTTTTGCAAGGGCTGATTCTGTGAGAACAGCACCACCTACAGGCCTGGCATATGTACTACAGCGTCTCCAGCGCTTTCGAACGGCAATGGCCGTGGCTGTCTCCTCCTGATTGGTGGAGTTGGCCCAATAGCTGTAGCGCCACTGTCCTGACGTCAGGACAGTGTTCAAATCTGGATCAGTTTTTATCAGATCCGTTGCAGCCCCTTTTTTAGAGATTTGGGTATGGAGGAAAATAGAGAGGGTTGTGTTTTCTGACACTTGGTGAGTTCCCTGGAACACCGGGGACACATATTCATGTATAAAAGACGTACAAAAGTGCATTTTGCATGATAGGTCCCCTTTAAGTTTACTATAATAACCCTGCTGGTGTGGAATATTAGTGCTAATTATTAATGTTACACATCATCAGGTGTATCACGGGATAAAATCGTGATAAAATCAAGATGTTGCAGTGAAAGTTGTACTATATGTCAACCTGTTTCTATGTTAGTATTTAGTCAGGGGCCACAGTGTAATACATCACTGTGTCAGACAGTTGTTGAAGGTGAAATTCAATCAATATTATCCTGTCAATATGTATATCATATTTGTGTTCATGCTTACCAGTTTTGTAGAGACCCTTATTGTGTTAAATGTTTCTCTACACTATACTGTGCATTGTTATGTGCTTGATATCAAAGCCTTGCTCAGTAAAAATGTTGCAATTGATTATAGTTGCTGGAACAAGCCAGCCATATCATGTACTTTTATAAGAACAACACAACTCTGCATTGACCTCAGTGCCCGTTGCCATGTTGACTTGATGTGTGTTGTGTCCACAGGAGCATGGCTGCCTTTGCAGGGATGTGTGACGGAGGCTCAACAGAAGACGGGTGTTTAGCAGCCTCTCGAGATGACACTACATTAAACGCACTTAACACTGTAAGTAGCAATGCAAAATATCACAAGTGCACATAATAAAAAACAGTAAAATGTGGCTTCTGAATTACAGAAATTCCACCGTTGTGTTTTATCTATGATGCAGCACTGCAGTGAGGGGAATGATAAGACCCCTGAGCCTGTAGAGTAGCCCCCTGTAGCACACCCATCCGAGGAGGTTCGCAATACATTAGACATAATGAGAGATTTGTCTGTCACATTGACAATGAATACCGAAGAATCAAGCACAAGAAAGAGATTAGAATCATCATAAACAGGGCATTTATATTCCGACTCTATAAACTAGAAAATTAACATAGCGGACAGGTCACTGTCTCTCGACCTCTATTTGCAATTCCAATGAGTAATGCTTGTTTATTTTCAGAAGAAGAGCTCCAGCGCTGCATGTTTTAGCAAATTGAATGTGACACAGGGCTTAAAGCTACATGGCGATTGCCTTGGTCACTGCGGTGTTTATTTTCAGTCTGGTTCTTGGGTCTTTGCACAGCTTTTTCTCTTATCGCTCTAAGATCTCGCGTAAAATGATATAAAATCAGTTTGCAATACAAATCAGCTCAATGAACTGTGTCGGTAAAGCTAAAATATTATCTTCCAAAGCCTTTTATAAATTCAATTTAATTATGTATCAGAATTACAAGCTGAGCTCTGTTAAGTGCCTCGATAAACATGAATCTGTTGTCATCTTGAAATGTACTTATTCAAAATAGTTATCACCCTAATAAATCTTATTTCATTTCATTTTACTGTACAATATTACATTCTGTTCTTGTATATATCATATTCTATTTACGTGTATATAGACTTCTTGCACTATTTTTTTATTGTATTTTTGTATTTTATTATACATGTTGCATCGTTGGAGGAGCGCGGGTCATAAGATTTTCATTACCATTTCTACACTGTAGCTTATGTGCCTATGACATTAAAACCTTTGAAATTGAAAATTGAAATATTTTGTTGTGATTATCCTCAGCTTCACGAGAGCAGCTACGATGCAGGAAAAGCTCTCCAACGCCTGGTGAAGAAGCCTGTACCCAAACTGATAGAGAAGTGCTGGTCTGAGGATGAAGTGGTAAGAGAACCTCACCTTTTAATATGGAAATGCATTAATATGGTGCGAGAAAACATAGAGTTATGGATATACTAAAGCAATGGAGTTTGTCTGATGTTGGTATTAATTGCGTGGGTGCCTGCTGTCCGTCAGAGCTGTCTTTGCATCTTTAGAGGGAGCTGTTGAGAGAGAGTTTAAACAGGCTGCCCTTGGCCCAGTCTCACTAGACATCAGTAAAAGCACTCGTCAGTTTCCAGCTCCTCTAAGGCCCAAGAGCAGCTGCATCCTGTTTATCAACCACAGAATAAATCTTGAGTGTGGAAGTCTGGAAAGGGGAAAAAAGATTGAGGGCTGGTAATGTTAGCCTCCATTTGAATTTAGATGTGAATTTCACCACAGCTGTTGAAGGGCTGAAATCAGAAAATGGCAGCCCTTCTCCCGATCAGCACGTTGTGAAGCGGGTGGGAGGAAAGTGCTGGATAACACCATGTCAGAACGGCTGAGAGCTGCTGCTTTCGACTTGATGCTTTACGACACACTGCACTACATGTTAGTACACACAATCCTTTTTAAAGATAACACTGCTGACTGATCGGACTGAAGATCTTAGAAAACACAAGGCTGTGTTAGTGTTTCCTCCTCCTCTGTGTGAATTTCCACTTTGATATTGTTTGGTAATGCTGACGCTTGGCAGTCTTTTGTTGAGCTTTGAATCCAGCAGCTCAGATCCAGAGGAAGTGAATGGGTGTATTTATCTTGTAATTGAACTGGATGGGCACATTTGAATAAAGCCAGAGCTCACTGCAGGACCGCAGCGAATCACAACAAATTAACTCAGGCATCCTTTCCTCGGCTAGTTATGAGTTTTCCTTTATTTATGCATACTCGCTGGCGCCGAGCTTAACTGCTGTGTGAAGATGATCAGAGTTCTGAGCGGCCATGTTGATGATGCCTCACTGCCACATTCACCACAGCAGGTCGACCACAGACCCCAGCCAAAGGAGCACAGGGGGGGGCTCAATAGTAGGAGCTGTTAGTCAATCCAGAAAATAAAGCGGTCACTTCAGTTATTCACTTATGGGTTTTAGAACTGTCCTATCCAGTGGGACATGCGTGCTGCACAAATTATATAAAAACCTTAAACCTAGTTTTGATTTATGGCTGACATGTACACAACAATAGTAACAATAGACATAGCATAGAACATGTAAATTAGCACATATATGTTTTTTGCCATGTCCTGTGTCCTTTTTCTACTTCATATTAGAACAGAAATCACATGTAAAACAAAAGAAATATTGAAATTTAGATTAAATAATTTTGTAAAATTTGTAGAAAAACTTTATTAGTCCTTACTGATAATTTTATGAAAAGGAATGCACAAAATATGGCACTGAATAACTGAAAACCAAACCGCATTGGCCTAAACGTTCCAATGGTTTTCATACAGAATAATAATTATAACTCAGTTTTACGTGTTTTTATTTGCTCAATGAACTACACATATTTTTTCCCTCTATCCCTACAGTTAAAATGCTATGTTCATATTATTGCAATATCATTTCACTCAATGACAATTGTATTATTGCCCAGCCCTGGGTCCTCAGCATATTTAATTATTTCTGTTACTCGGGTCAAGGTGACTCCACCAACACTTCACAGAGGGGCTTCATCTTGTTCAGACAGCATCATGTAACTGAAGTGGAAGAGCTGTTGTGTGTGTGAGAGTCCAGTACTCTGTGTTACCCATGTTCAGTGTCTGTGGGTGGAGGCTCACAGGCTGGCTGTTGATGCTCCACCTGCCCCACAGTGTCTCTGCCGGGGGGGGCAGCAGCGTGTCTCTGTCCGGCCAAGGACGAAACACACTTCCCTGTGATCCGATCACCAGTTGTGCCTTTTCAGCCCTGCAGCCTTGAGGGACAGGTGTAAATGCAGCACCAACCCTGACACACTCTCAGAAACCAGCCCTGCTGCTCTTCATTTATTTATCCGCCCTTCCTCTTCCTCTCCATCCCTCTCATCCCCTCCAGGACGGGCTTCATTATTCCTGCCTGCATTCCTTCAGAGATGTGAATAAAAGTGACAGCGGGGGCTGCTGAAATGACAGCATCAGCCTGTCTGCTAGGTCACTTGTCACCCTCCCCCCTTTGACTTCTTTTGCCACCCCCCCCCACACCACCTCTCATGTGCAGCTGCTGCCACATAGCACATCATCTGAACCCTCATCTGAACTCTCTACCTCTAAAACATTTCATAATTTAAAAGGAAAAATAACTCCCTTTTCAATTTCTAGCTGTTTCATTTTTGTGGAAGTGACAGAGTGTTGAAGGGGGGATTTTATTTAATTGTTATTGTCTTCTAGCAGGCACAGAGAATAATTTCAATTCAGTAAGATGTGCTGCTTTCACCAACAGATCGATCTTTCACTGTGAGATTATTATTACAACTTTCAGAAATTGAAAATCCATCATCTTGATGTGAGCTCTGTTTCATGCATCAGTGATGATTATAGATTACACCAAAGAAAAATATCTCAATTGTTACAAAACAAATTAATATAAAACTGTAAATATTTCACCCGGATCATCTAGAGCAGGGGTGTCAAACTCAATTTCATCGCGGGCCACATTAGCATTATGGTTGCACTCAAAGGGCCGGTTGTAACTTTAAGACTATATAAATATATAACATATATAACATAATGTATTATATTACATTATTGCCTCTGCATTGGATTATTATCGGATAGGGTAATAACTTCATAATTAACTACGTCTGAAGGCAAAAGTCTAGGGCAAATAATTGCAAGTCTCTTCAGTGCGCATGTCACAAAATGAGATGCATTGTGGGACATATACCGCAGGTCTCCCTTGAAAAAGAGATCGTTGATCTCAATGGGATTTTTTTAACCTGGTTAAATAAAGGCTACAAACAATGTCGTTTATTGGCAACGTGCTTCTGTAAAGCGGCATGTAACCGTATAATAAACGTATTATATTATTTGCAAGCTCTTGCAGGGCCACATAAAATGAAGTCGCGAGCCGGATTTCTTTTTCTAAAGTCTAACGGAGAGAGGCATTCCCACAACAACACTCTGTGTGTTTTATCAGAAACCAAATCAATGCTCACTGCCCACTCTCTTTCCTTCCTTTTGATTTTACAATTCTCTCAACGGCAAAAAATACTATTTTTAAACCGGGAACCAAAAGCACTTAAAGTGAAAAGCAACAAGTTGTTTATTAAAGTTGCAATTCAAGCAAGCTACATTTATTTATTATGTATTCTATAGGTATAGTTAAATATTTTATATTATTATATACAGCTGCTGTGATAGACCTAAATACCTACTGCTGTTTCCACTGCCTGGATCTCCTTTATTTATTTGTATATTTAAGTCTTTTTTTTTAAATATGCAAAGTCTCCCATGTCCACCTCTTTACCACACAAGCCTTCCTTTATCATCTCAAATATTATTTTTAAGTTCAGTAAGTTGATGAACTGTGGGTGAATAAAACATTTATAAAAAAAACAAAATATGACCACAAATGCATTTAAATATAACCTATATACTTATACAATATTAAAAAATGATATCTAATATTCGAAACCTTAAATTCTCACCTAGCCTCAGGTTCTTTTGTCTGATGTTCAACCTATAGATCTTAAGATATTATTTCCCTTAAACTCAAAGTATCATATGACTTGATTATTCTCTATCGCTTGTTTATTATTTAGATACAGTCTGAGTGTCTCAATAAATCTCCCCCCTCCATCTCCATCTCCTCTCCCGTCTCAATAAGTCTGAATAAATAAACCTTTAGTATTACATCTTCTGTACCTGCAGACTTGGCTAAGGTCACTGAAGGATTCCTGCTCTCTTTACATGAAGCTGCTGTCAGCCCTGATTGTAAATAAGTGGTGCTAATAATGCATCGGCCAACAGGAGGTGCCATATAAACAATGGGCAGCAGCAGCAGCCTCCTCCTCGCTGTGTGTCGCCATGTCAGAGACGGAGAGGCTGATCTATGACTGCTGCGGGGCGGCAGGTCTATTCCTCCGCCAGCTGCACCGTGCCACGGCTTATCTCCGCCTGTGTCTTTAGCTGATGGATGACTGAAGCAGGCTGCCGGCAGCACAGAGGCGGGAGGGGAGGGAGGAAAGATGAGGGGAAGGCAGAGAGAGTAGCGGCCCCCCAGTGGCTGAACACAAGCCTACAGACCAAATAACACACCGCACAACCGAAAACACCACAGGCAGATAAAACACAACATGCCGCCCCGCATCCCCTGCTGCAGGCTGTGGATTATTTAAAAGTTAGATGAGCAGCTTTACTTGGCTGTTTCTCGTCTGCCGAGGGAGTGTTGTCTGCTGCATCAAAGATTTATTGTCAACAGTGCATTTTATGGTGCAGTGCCAGCAATGCTTTTTAGGGTTGTTTAGTAACTAAATAGCAGGCAGGATGGGTGTGTGCTGGAATTTCCTGTCACCTCTTATGTCAGTATGAGCGAAGGAAAGCAGAGGACGTTACTCTGCCTGCCTTAAACTGGCAATATATCTTCAAGTTTGGTATTTGGTAAATATAAAAACAGGATTTGTTTGTCGGTAAAAGCATTTTTGGAGATATTTTAATCAAAACGTATAACTCTTTAAACATATAAAAACATTTTCTAAACATAGGTCTTTGTTTTTATTTACAGTGTCAGTGCAAAGAGGATGTGGGTAGTCTAGAGTCATTGCGGTCTCCCCTCTCTTCTTAAAGCATGTTGTGATTTCCTGTCGGCACACCGTGGCTAATCTTTTCACTATCTGATATGTTATAACAGACGGCAGTGTGATTTTCGTTGCTTTTGGCTAGTTGACTGATTGTCCTCCACCCTCGGGGGTTTACACACTGCAGGCTTTAAAAAAGGTCAGCTTTTAACAACAAGTCAAGTATAATAGCTCCATATTGAGTGAAAGTGGCTTTGTTTGCCGTTGGCTGGCTTGTGTCTGTGTTTTCATTTAATGACATTTAGAAAGGAATTATGTTCCATGTCTTAGCCTGCGCCCTGTTGGTCGTCATGATACCATCTTAGCGCGTTTGTCTGCTTTATCTTAACCAGTTTTACAACTCCCAACAATCAACTCTGGAGCAGGAAGTGCGCACACACAACAATGGCCTATTGAATCTTTTTTTTCTGGACCTCCTCCTCCTTTTATATGTCTCCTCTCCTGCCTCACAATAGTGCTCTGTTAGTCTCCGAGGGGAAACTTGGGGCGGGTGAAAAGCGCCAGCTCCCTGGAACACACTCGCAGAGAGAAGCCTGTTGTTTTTGCTCAGCGGATGGCCATTTGGTAGCGCTTCCACCCAGCCCCCCCCCTCCTCATCCCATCGTTCCCTCTCTCTCTCTCTCTCTCTCTCTCTCTCTCTCTCTCTCTCCCCGGCCCTCTCAGCCCCTCCTCTGCCGCTGTGTTTCCTAGCAACGCAGGGCTGGAGCAATAGGAGCAGGGGCAGAGCGATTCAGGGAGCAGATTGGCGGATGATTTATTAGCTGGGCTGTAGAGCAGTGAGCCCAGGCAGCTGAAATGGAGCCTTAAACTGGAGCCGACGTGTGGAGAGGGGAGGGGGGAGCCAGCGAGAGAAAGAAAACAGAAGAGAGGGGGGAGGAGAGAGGGATCATGCACACAGCTTCTCTATGGAGACAGACGCACAGGCTGTGTAAATAGTACAGTCAGGGAACATAATTAAGGGGACATAATTAGGACAGACACACAGGCTGTATGGGCAGGTCTAATCATTGACTAGTGCTGCCGTCACTGCAAAGAAAGAAATCTCAATCGCAACTCCTCTCCAGTTGTAGTGCTTCGGTGATGAAACCAAACTCAATCCTGTCAGCAGAATCCCCGTCCGTCTTAAAAAAAATAAGCTACCTCTGAAAATACTCATCTCGAATTCTTTCTCTCTCTCTCGCTCTCTCCATCCTTTGTACCTCTTTCTTAAAAAACTACATTTTATAAAACGGTCATTATCTACGCACTTAAATTCAACTTCATGACTTGTGACACTTGTATTGGCTGGAAAAGGGAGCTGATTTCTTCAAGTAAATGTTTACTTAATTTTGTCATCGCCTGTCAAAGTAGTAATGTAGATCCTCTGAATCTCTGCCCTTCTCTGTGGAAGTTTGACTGACAGTCCAAACGGTAATCTGCTCCTCACCCCTTTGAGTGGTCGGATATGGGTGTCGGATGTTTTGGGGGGAGCACTTGTGTTGGAGACGGCTCCATCTACTGGCTAATCAACTGCTACACCTTCAGTCTGATTAATGCAAATGAACTGCTGTCTCATGTAATGAGGACCGGCTTCTATTCAGCTGTCAGCTGTTAAACGTCTAGATTTCATTCAGGCCTGTCATTTTGGATTATTTAGTCTGGTTTAACTCGGACTACCTTTTATATTTTGTCCCTCACAATAAGGCAGTTCAACTTTAAAACGTGAGACTATTGACTTTGTTTGTGTAATTGAGATAAACACAGTCATTCCTTCCTGTTGTTTATATAGGTCTGTTTTTCTCGCCTGTAATTATCCCTCCTAAAAAGACAGTTGTGTTTAGCAGCTGGCTGTGTTACTTCTGTAAATTTGGCCTTTTGTTCCCCATCAAAATCTGGGTATGTAAACTGTGGTTACATAACGCACTGTTTATGGCATGGAAAATCTCCTGTCCCTCAGGACACACTCCGTGTCTGGTTTTCCTTCTCACTTGTCTCTTTCCACCATGTCCGAGACCTTTCTCCACACAAATTGTATCAGCCTGCCTCCCCTCTCCGGCTGGCAGCTAGTAGAGTTTGTGCCTCTGTGTGCGTGCTTACCCAAAGCTCTGAATGCATTTAAAGGAGTGCTGTGCTTTCTGTTCCAATGAAGTGGGCAGCTTTGGTGTAGTCTTTGTAACAAACATGGGCCTGGTTTTCCTGTGTGGGGGTAGAGACATAAAGCCTGCTCATGCGGTGTTAGAGGATCAAGAAGAGGCTGAAATGAGCGCTGTGCTCGGCACAAACATGAAGCACAGGAATCCACTCCGTGTTTTCCAGCCTGCTGCGAACCAGAGGCTCTCTTGCAGAAAGATCACATGTAAAGCCTTCCCCTTTGTAGTGGAAGAGCAGAGAGTGACAAGCTATTTCTTGCTTGTAAAAGAAAAGCAGGAAAAAAGCGATTTAACGTCAGAGACATTGTGGATTTTCTCCCTAATTCTTCCTATATCTGTGGCTGGACGTAGAGGTGTGTGCCCTGCTCCTTGAGGACTTTTATCTGCTTTTTGCTGGAGTTACTTGGTGGAAACGGTTGGCTGAGATCACTGAGAGACGGGGCTCGCCTCTGGAACAAGAAAGTAAATCTGTTGGTTGTCTGCTTCGCTGGTTATGAATGTTTTCAGCCTCCGCTATTCATGGCTCGCGGTCTGTGGCTCTTAAAGGAGAAGAAATACATTTAGGTAGTTCAGCTTTTTGCTATTTATCCATTTGTGATGTTGTTTTTGTGCTCAGTGAGCTGAGGTGGTATGTTCACATTGCCTTTTCCTGTGAGATTAAATCTGATGTTATAAAGTAGCAATTTCTGTCATCATGCCTTTCAATTCCTTTTACTCATGTAAGGGTATATTTGTTGATTTTCATTTTTGACATGTTTCCTGTGCTTTTTAAATTGCCAAAAAATACAGACGTAAATAGAAACTGTCTAGCATGCACAGTGAGGCATCTTCATGCCTTTAAACTCTCAAGTTTAGGCTCTGACTTCAACTTTGAATTTTTACTAACAACACATTCAACATGTATACTGTCATGTATGTTTTTATATTAGATTACATTTTTTTCAACAGTTTTTTCTCTCTAAATGAAAAGATGGGCTTAATCTCAGCGTCGCACTCTGCTTTACTTCTCATTTCCTCTCTCGTTTTGCTCTGACATGGCTGTGTTTTCTCCAGAGTTTCAACGGCGACAGAGATTTCTAGATACACATCAAACCTCAGACTAGCAAAAGGAAAACAATGTTTTTTTGGTGTGGTGTCAGCCTCTAACTTAATGTGGTTGCAGTTTAGCTGACTTCACGGATACTAACTGGTCTCTTTTTTCCTCCCTCTTCCTCTGTAAAAAAAATTGCAGAAGCGCTTCATTAAAGGGTTGAGACAGTTCGGCAAAAACTTCTTCAGGATCCGGAAAGAGCTGCTGCCCAACAAAGAAACGGTAAGACCTTTACATTTTGTCTATACTGTGGAACTTTTTCACTGTGTGTTTCATTTGTTTTATACCCACTAAACGTACGAGCTACATGTGGTTTGCTCGTAACTAATGGAAGACGCAGGCAGTAAAAATGTTTTCGTGATCATTTGAGCTGTCTTCTAACCAGAGGCCTTATTGATAAGAAGTTCTTCCAGCCAACAACTGAGCTGCATCATTGTCAGATCTAGGCTTAATGCTGTACGTGAACAAATAAAAAAAATGGTGTTATACCTAAAAAGAGAAAAGGTTTAATTTTCCTTACAGATGCCACTGAAACTACACGCTGAACATTAATTAGCACCCTCTGTTAGCAAGTAGTAAACAAGCTGTGCAGATGTGGTGTGAGCCACTGTGTTAAAGCAGATCTCAGACCTGCTCTATCTCATGATTGTAAGTGTTTCAGCATCACTTAAGACCTTTGGAGTAGTTAACTCTAAGGTGTAGCATAATGGCTCTCACAAGGATTCAAAAGCAGGTTCATATTGGAGCCTTTTGAAGTGAATAACAGTAACAACTTCTCTAATAGTTGTGCTGAAAACTTTAGTATTTTGTATGTCAAAGTGGCAACTTGAAGATCAATTATAGAGACAGAAGACACATGCCTTTCTTTATAAAATCCAACTTCCCTCACTCCAAAATGGTGTTGCTTTCAAGAGTAAGTCATTGTAGTTAAAAGACCTGAAAATTAAAACTTGTACCACTAATGTAGCATTGAGCACCTTCTACTGTGAACACAGATTATTGTGTGCTTAACTATCTGAAAGGGTAAATTATAATCTGTGTTGAGCATTATACTTCTTATTTCCTGCTAGTTTTAAGAACACTGACAAACATGTTGTTAAAGAGGACAGTGAATCAATATCTGCTGTGCTATGAGGAACTGTTTGTTGTTCATGTACACGGGGAGAAGGACGTCAGTTTCACTCTGTGTGTGAGTGTGCGTGCGTCAATGTGTTAATCATTACTGAACTGTGACTTGTTTCATGGTACAAGTGGGTCAAATCCAGGACTAGCAATTATAAACAACAGCTAGGCTTTTAAAATGTGATAATCGTGTTGGAAACAAAAACATAGCAACCACCCAGACTGTGTTGTTGCTATTCAAACGGTCTTGCAGCGTTTCACTATCATCTCTTTCTCGTTATATCTGCATAAGGAAAACTGTAAGTGAGGTGTTGGGTTTTGATCTCGACTACTAAGGAAACATGCTGCTGTATATGTTTCATGTTCTGCAGAGTCCTCCACACCTTTGACTAAGCTGTTAAATTATTCCTAGCATTTTGATTCATAAAGCAATGCAGACCTTGCTGTTTTCTGTCGGGCTGCTCCTGCTGGAAGTGCACCCATACAGCGCTGACACACACATCAAAGGAAAATCAGAGGTGTTTGTCATACTTCTCGCCACTTCATGTCCTCGTCTGCTGTCAGCTGAGGATATGTCGGCCCTGCTCCTCAAACACCCCCTACATTTCATGTCATATTTTGACTAAAAAATTCTTTACTGTCACCTCCTTTGTGCTACATGCTTTATTCCTCAAAGCCAATTTGAACCTCTTGAATAAGAGATTAAAGTGTACGAACACAGTTTCCTCAAAGACGTTTCTTCAATTATTCTTGGTGGTTTTGAAATATACAACTAGTCCAGTTGATTGGCTATAAAGGAGGTATTAATGTAATTCAACCTGGAGGGGGAGTCTGCTTGGCAGGAGAGGTAATAGACCTCCTCCAGGATCACGGCCTGCCACCACCACAGAGAAGAGAGAGATTAATTTTCCCCCAACACATGGAAAATAAACTGCCCTTTAAACATATGAAAAGAGGAGAAATGGACTGGGAGAGCATGGGGAGGGTAGCAGCGACCGGAGGAGAAGGGGTGAAGTGCGGCGTTAGCTCAATGAAGACACTGAAAAACCTGGGTTGTCACAGAACAAAATAAACTGTTTCTTTATGATTAAACTTACTTTTGTGCGATCATACTGATCTGACCGAGTGCCAAGTCAATACCCCGAGGAAAGCTCTATTTATTTTGTACCTTCTCAATCCAAAATCCTATCTGTGAAACATGAGCACAACAAGCTATTTTAGGTCCTGAGATTTTCCCATTATCTCCAGTCACAGGCACGCATTTCTGTCATTCCACTGGCATGCCAAGCCTTCAAATCAGAAGCTGTTGCAGAAAAATAACTATGTTCCTTCCTTGAGTCCTGCACAAACCACTGTCGTTGAGCAAGAGCGCACAGCATAAAACCCTTTGTGCTGATATCCAGAGGTCCGGTACCGTGTGTCTGCCCCTTATTTTCCTACCACTACCCCCAATAGCCGCGCTGCCCCTGAAGTGCCAGCGCGCCTGAAACACCCGGTGCCAAGGGTAAGCACCCCGCGCTGTGTAAACACACCGGGCATGACTAGCACTCAGGAATGCTTTATATAAAGTCACATAAAGGCCCCGAGGGGGGAGTGGGTGTGTCGTCTGACCGTCTGCTACTCGCTTTGCTGCCACCATTTCCTTCAGAGAGGACGTCATGCAACATGAGCTTCCAGTGTTTAAACAACTAAATGTGCTGAAATGGCAGATCCGATTGCTCCGCTCCTGATATTTTCACTGAGGTGGTTTTCGGGGATAGCAACACATAGTATTTGCAGAAAACATTTGTATCAGTTTCAGCTCCTTCTGATACATCTAAACAGGAGAGTTACAAAGTTTTGGCTTTTCAACTGTCGATAGGCCCAAGCGTTTTCATTGGTGGAAAATGTTCCCAAGTTAAATGTTAAGAAATTAATGTTGGATAAAGATTATATAAACTTTTTTGTTTGTATTAATTTGTTACATTTTTATAATTTTAGGGGCAAGGCTATTCTCAGGTGTCAATATGGATCACTGATTAAAAGAAACCTCAAAAGTCAACTCGTGTCTAAAAATGTATTCATTACAGCTAGTGTTTTCGTGTTCTGTGAGAAGTGTTACAAGTTACATGAAACGCGTACAAGCAATTTATTTACTTTATGTTCAAATATCATTGTATTATGTATTTATAGATCATTACAATGTTTTACAATAGCACACAGAGCAACCACAATCTAATAAACTCCATAAAGCTTTTGTTTTATGATTGTAAATTATTGTCGATAGCTTTGTGCATGCCCGAATGTTTATCAGTTCAGTTTCCCCCGAGGCTCCGTTCCTGCATCCTGTTGTTTATTATCTCGTGACTGCTCCTCTAAAAATATGAAAATTCATTCAATAAATTGGTACAGAATAAGCATAAGCACAAAAAATGTGATATTATTGTATTTAAGTCAAACTTTGTATAAATGATCAAATAAATATTTATTAAGAAAAGTTTAGTTATATTCATCTATATAGAAATATAACACAGTTTTAGTAATACATTCACAACATCAGCTGCAAGTGATATTTACTATAGGACGGGGGAAACATGATTCTAAGAAACCTTTAGTGCGGCTGTTTCCTGCCAGTGGCAGTGTGTTAGAATGGTTCATGTTAACGTCACTAGTCAAACAAGTGTTCTTAGATGGCAAACAGTTGAATAAAACAGCTGGGAAAAGCTGAAAAAATGACCCCTTCATTTTTCAGTCGTACTTGCAGCAGGTGACGGAACAGGTCGGTACACAAAGGGCACTGTGACCGTAGAGCATGTTAATCATTTCAAATTAATATAGACGACCCCAGCTTTAAAATCGTGCCTTGCTTGTGCTGAGCGGCTCTTGCAGCATCTTACCCTCTCCCCTCACCCTACCCCACCCCGGGCCCTGTCATTTACAGGATGTCCGACAGGAGAACAGTGTTCCCAACACAACCTCACAGCAGATGTTTGCCCCGGTACAATCTGTACAAACGTCAAATTGAATCCATTGCCATGTCCTCAGCTCCGAGCCAGAACCTTGGGGATGACTGTGATTATAAATACTTTGGTTCAAACACTAATTAAAGCAGCTACAAACTACAGGGGCCTGGTCCAGTTGGCAGCCGCTCTCATTAGTGCGACAGAACGTTTCTGTGTTTGGTAAATGATATAACTTGTTTAGGCATCGAAATCGCTTTTGGCAGAAAGAAGCTCAACCAGCACGTATTGATGTTCTTTTAGCGACCACAGGCAATTTAGCACAGCAGAGTGTGGGCAAAATCCTTTTTTTTCCTTCAGCCTAATAGACGGAGAACCGGGGCTCCTTGTGTAATTGAGTTCTTTGGTAGGCTCATGTTGTGGTTTTTGGGGGAACCAGCTTATCAGCAGAACACGTAGGATCAACCCTCCAGCAGAAAGGCACTGTTGCCATCCAATCTGCTTTCATTGGCAAAAGCGCTTACAGCAGGAAAAACACGAGTGCTGATTCTTCAGCATGTGCATCCCTGACCTGTGAAAGCAGAGCTTATTCAGTCATTCTCCAGCAGAAAGGCGCTGCGCAGCAGGGATGGCTGTCTATTTAAACGCTTTTCGCACGCACTCTGCTCCACAAGCCAATGTCCTTTCACTATTCAGTCACAAAGAATATATATTTGATTTAATCCAGTATTCATATTCAATTTGCAGGAATGTTTTTTAACGTTTTATCTGCATATTATGTGAAAAATACTATTGAACTGAAGTAATAGAGCATTATTTTAATCATCAATATCCTTTAATGGTTACTTTAATAGGAATGGGGTCATTAGGCTCAAGATAAATAAACATGCAATTTTTCAATTCAATGTCAAATGGCCCTGCAGGCATCACAAACACACCTCTGACCTGCTTAACCACACTGGCAATTACAAAGTCACCCCCTACAGTTACAGTCAGCATGAGGAGGATGTAAAAGTCAAGCACCACTCACTGAAACGATACTGTTCAACCTGTCACGGCTGATGAAGAATACCTAGTCCAGGGGTCGAGCACATGCATAATTAAACCCTGGTTTGATTTAGCTCAGAGAAATATGTCTCCCTTCACCTCGCTGACATGAATCAAGAAGCAGTTCTCCCTCCTCCGGCTGTAGACTGTGCAGAAGCAGGAGGAGCGCAGGACCATGCAGCACTAATGGATGTTTACACAGCTCACTATCAGCCACCAGAACCCAGAAACCACATGCGCAGCAGCTAAACTGCTACCTTCTAGTTTTTAGCAGACATTATTATTGGCAGAGAATTTTTTTTCCCAGTTGTTGTGGTGAGATTCAATGTCAATTGTCCATTGTTGTCCACTGCTGGCTCTTTATTCCTCCCTCTTGGCCCTCCCCCTCCTCAGCTCGCCCCTGTTCTCTCCTCCTTCCCCTGCTCTTGCCAGTAACGGCCTTAACCGTTTGGCTTCATGTCAAAGCAGGGGCCTTTTGTGGCTCTGTCACAAATCTGCCAGGAAAAACAGAAACCATCTGTTCGGGCCTGGGCCTGAGAGGGGATGAGGGTGTAAATACACACGTTTAGCCTTCACCCCCAGCCCTTCCCCGCACATACAGGCCCACCGAGCCCCGTGCAGGACCATGCACTCCCACTCAGCCGCAACCTGTACTCCCACCAGCAATTAAACTGTAGAGGATTCATGCTAACATACCAGTAGAAGTCTTACAAACCGTAAAATTAGATAGTTTACAACACAGAGTTTAAAACCTGTCGACTATAGATTTACAGGGTTACATATAGTTTTCATATATAATCATATAAATACATATAAAAACTGTGTATTTTAATGGCAGAATACGATTTGTATAATACACTCCAAAGCATATATTATTTTTAAAGGCATTTATTCTAATTAAGTAGAGTGCAAATCGTTTTACTATGGTGGAAGAACTTGTTCATCAGCGAGTGTCATGAAAACATTACTGTACATAATCTTACTTCACATCCATTTTCACTCACCATTTTAAGTGGCAATAACTGGAATGGAAGTCGTGATAGGAGGGTAAGCCCTTTCCTTGTCGGATAATCCAGTGGGCAGAAAGCTCCTGCAGATGGAAGCAGTCTAAAAGGCCTTATAATGCTGAGCTTATGTTGTCACTATCTTATGAACTGCGGAGTGGCAGCACACTCTGTACCGCTCTGCAGTGATTTACAGGAATGGGGGGAAATTATGGTGCGGAGGACTGGGCCAATTTACATTTCTATGTCAAGTATTTCCCTGAATTTTTTGCGGATACCGGTGAACTGTTTTAGTTGCAGGTTCATGGAGGGCTTTTCAGTTTTACTGTCATCTTCATTTTAAGAAGAAACAAAAACATTACTCAATAACTACGTACAAAGTCACTGGCTAAACATCCAATCATGGAGAGGAAACGCTAGTTGAGGGAAGTTTAAGTGTTGGAGTGGGAATATGGCAGCATGACAAAAAGAACAGTCAGTGTATGAGGTGAGAATTGTTGTCAGGGGAACCAAATTTGACATTCAGGCAGGCTAAGAGGGGTAATCTGTCGAACTCCTGTTGACTGCACTTTAGTGACAGTCATCAAATAGAAATGCACTACAGTTTGCCAGTGACTGTATGCAAAATGTGCGGACTGTTGAGCTAAAATATGTCCAATAACACATTCCTTATTTTTAACTGGCAATAACTTTTCAACTCAAAACATTTAGTCAACTTTAACAAAGCGGCTTCTTTTGTTTTCCCTTTTTCATTTATACCCTGCTCTTCATTGCACCTGTTATTTCACATTCAAAAGCCCAAGTTAATGTTTTCATTAGCCCCTGCCTGATGTAAGGGCACTTGACACAGTGTAAGTGATGGAGAGGCAGAGTGACCTTTCCCCGCGTCTGCCAAGCTGTTGTTGGGGCCGTGTAGTTGTCAGCCTGCAGGGAGGAGGCAGAGAGGCACTGCTGAGAACAGTCATTAGACACAGAGCAAAGCCAGCGCTCGGCAACACTCGAGACTTTTGATCTGCACATTTCAATTAGATTTCACATCAGGACGCCTGCCTTCCCTCAGTGAGCACCTGCGCCCTGCTTTTCCAACTGCCCGGCCGAGGGGCTGAAGAGGGGGGCCGCACAGGGAAGGAATAGAACGTTCTCTTACCAGCCTGAAAGAGAAGCAAAAAAACATGGCATCATAAAAGAGCTATAATCATAATTAGCTGCTCTGATCTTGGCATGAACATGGACAAACAATTGGAGATATTATAACAATATATATATTTGTCTCTGCTTGGCTTCTACATGTAAAACCGTCTCTGTACTAAACACCCAACTAAAGCAGTGGGTCTTGAGACACTTTTCCTCTGGAGCACCGGCATGACACAGCGCAGCACCTTCATTTACCCTGAAATTTGAGAAGGTGTCATTGAGCTCAGACACCCTCAGTAAATGTTCCCGGCTCTGCTCTGCCTGATAAGACGTGAGTCCTACACTCACTAGTAGATATGAATTTCCCCTAAGAGCCACATGAAGGGAGATCTTATTAAACAAGCCTACGCCTGCTGAGTTGAGCTTTTTCTACCAATCAAAGCAGTGATTGAGACTTGACTTGTTCCTTAATGTCAAATATCCAAACGACCTGTTGAACAATAAAGGAGCAAAGGCTGGCCTATCCCTGACCTGTGTTTTCTCCTATACCAGGAAACCAACTAGCCTCAAGTGGCTTTGTATTTCATGAGATAACAAATTAAAGCAGCAGTTACCCTCATGTTTTCATTAATACCAGCCTTTACACTTTGAAATTGCCACTTACCATTTCATCATATCCTTTCCTGTTCTGTACAATTTTGGGGTAAGATGTTAAGCTGTCGCTGAAAGCCTTTAATGCATTTTTGAGAGCAATGCACTGACTAATTTATGTTGCGTTTCTCAGCTGAGGCGAAGAAGGAAAACAATCGATAGCCATTAAACCATGGGAGCTTTGTTGAGCAGCAGTTTTAACAGACCTCAGACCGTAGATGGCTGCCCTCTGGGCTGCAAAGATTACAGGTGACTTACCGCCAACCAACAAACGCACCACACCTCGATGAATTTGTGGAGGACCACTAACAAGTGAGAGGTCAGAGTAAGGGAGAAGAGGGCAAGGCCCCACAGGAAACGACATCATTGTTTCTGACTCCTGTCGCCAATTTTCAAGGCTTGTCTGTCATGAGTGTGCCCGGCAAGCGTCAGTTAATATGCACAGGCTGCCTCAGCAAAGTGCTTTCTGATCCATGATTGCATGTGTTAATGTTTCAGTTGGGTATTGATTTCCTGGCGGCCTTTTGTACACTGGATTTATCCGCCTCGCTCGCTGGCAAGCGCGCTCCTCCGAATGTTTGATTAAAGTTCAATTGACTCTTCCAGTGAAGGGGCGAGGAGCCATTTCACTCCCTATTTGTAGCGCCAAAGCTCTGGCTGACATGTTCTTTTGTTCCCATTCAAGCTCCTGCCACCCAGGCAGCCACCAATGCACTGATCCTAATATCCCTGCATTCACTGAGCCTCTCCACTAATCCTGGGACAGACAGGGCCACAGCATAAACATCCCGGCCAGTGACAAATCCCGGCATGGACTTGTCCACTCCATGGCCTTTCACTGAAATACTGTGCTGACTGCTAATGTGTATTATCCACATCATTGATCATCTGAACTGCAGATATTTCACAGTGAAGATTTTCCAAGTAGACCTTTAATTTATTTTTCACGAGTCACCTCTTTGCGGTCAAAAGCGATGCCTCGTTTTCAATATTTTGACTGCTTGTGTTCCTGTGATATAATTGTCAGTTTTTAAGTGAATGTGTTTTCTTTTTCGTTTCAGGGAGAGCTTATTACCTTCTACTACTATTGGAAGAAGACCCCCGAAGCGGCCAGTTGTCGAGCCCACCGCCGACACCGCCGCCAGCCCGTCTTCCGCCGCATCAAGACGCGAACAGCCTCTACTCCTGTCAACACTCCCTCACGCCCCCCCTCCAGCGAGTTTTGTAAGTACATTTGATCATTTCATTGGCCGTCAGAGAGCAAAGTGGGAGACATGTTGACCTGATATATTCTGGTTTTCCAGGGTTGTTTGTAACATTTGTTTTCTTCCTCTCTCTTCCAGTGGACCTCAGCTCAGCCAGCGAAGATGACTTTGACAGTGAAGACAGCGAACAGGAGCTGAAGGGCTACGCCTGCCGCCACTGTTTCACTACCAGTAGGTTACCACGTTACACATTTACAAACACTCATACTGGTCAATAAGAACCACTTTGGCTATTCCTGTCTTTATTAGCAACAGTGTGAGCTCTCACAACACAGCATTGTGTGACAGATGGGCATCAGAAAATCTAATTTGATCAAATAAGACATGAGCCCCCAGCTTGTTCACCTCATTATCTTTCTACACAGCTGGCTCACAGTGCCAGGATCTGATCAGACTGCCATCACAACTAGGGCGTCTAATAACACTGATATCACGGTGTTAACCCATGTAGACCTTATTAGTACATTACTTAAAGTGAAGATCATTTATCATTGATTCATCAACCGCATGAAAGATATTTATCTCGTTAGATGTTAAACTACAAAGTTACTTCTCTTATTTCGACAATATTATTGTGTGATCTTCTTACTACCCGTGTGAGTGTTTTTTCACAACTGTAAATGGCTTTCCTCAGCCTCCAAGGACTGGCACCACGGGGGTCGGGAGAACATCTTGCTTTGCACAGACTGCCGGATTCACTTCAAGAAGTACGGTGAGCTGCCCCCCATAGAGAAGCCTGTGGACCCGCCGCCATTTATGTTCAAACCTGTCAAAGAGGAAGAAGATGGACTCAGCGGGAAGCATAGCATGAGGACCCGACGGAACCGAGGCTCGGTGCGTACTCACTCATCTGTCCCTCTATTTTCACCTTCAGGAACCATAGAAGAGGTGTCCCTGGAGCCAGACGGCAAAGCAATAGGCTGCTCCTGAAGTAGCACAGGGACAGCTTTGACATTCACTGTTTCACAAATGTTGGTTTTATAAATAAAGATCGACACAAATTGGATTGGAACTTAAATGTGGATCTTTATTTCTTATATCCAAATATATGACGCCCTCATATTCCTCATTATTCATGGTTCTGTTTGTTGTTCAGATGTCGACGCTACGTAGTGGTCGTAAGAAGCAGACCAGTCCTGATGGCAGAGCCTCACCTACCAACGAGGATTTGCGCTCCAGTGGGCGTACCTCGCCCAGCGCAGCAAGTACCGACAGCACTGACAGCAAGACGGACTCCATGAAGAAGCCCAGCAAGGTGAACACAGCGCAGACTGCTGGGAACGTTGTTATTCTTTGTCTTTGTGAAATGTCTCCTAACGGCTCTGCTTCTTTGGCTCCACAGAAGATTAAAGAGGAGGCTCCTTCACCTATGAAGAGCGCCAAGCGGCCGCGAGAGAAAGGAGCCTCAGACACAGAGGAGCCAGACAGGGCCGGCGTTAAAAAGTCCAAGACACAAGTGAGTCTGGGGTCTTTGTGATGTTCTATACTATTTTAAAGGAATGCATAGACTTGGTGTCCTAATACCTTTCTCTGCTCTGTCCCTCAGGAGCTCAGTCGGCCAGACTCGCCCTCAGAGTGCGAGGGGGAGGGGGAGGGGGAGGGCGAGAGCTCTGACGGGCGCAGCGTCAACGAGGAGCTCAGTAGCGACCCTAAGGACATTGACCAGGACAACCGCAGCTCCTCCCCGAGCATCCCCAGCCCGCGGGACAACGAGAGCGACTCAGACTCGTCCGCCCAGCAGCTCCTGCAGAGCCAGCACCTCCTGCAGAGCCAGCACCCCCCAGTCATCCAGTGTCAGCCCGGCCCCTCAGCCGCCCCCGCTGCACTGCCTCCACCCACAACCTCAGCCCCCTCACTGCCCCCACAGGTCTCCCCCACAGCGGCCTCCACCTCTCTACCTCCCCTGGCTCTGCCCCAGCCAGGCCCAATGTCTCTTATCCAGTCAGGAGCGTCCCTCCACCCTCAAAGGCTTCCCTCTCCACATTCACCATTGGCTCCGCCTCCTGGCCCCCCAGGTCCACCTCCGTCATTACCCAGCTCGCATCACGGGCCCATGCCTCCCATGCCCCATCCGCTGCAGCCTGGCCCCTCACACATGCCTCACCCTCACTCCATGCCCCCTCAGGGCTTCCCTGTGGGTCAGTCTCAGGTCCCACCCCTTCAAATCCCTGGCCAATCACAGCAGAGGCCGCACTCGCCTCCCTCTCAGTCCCAGTCATCCGCTCAGAGTGGATGCCAGCCTCCCAGAGAGCAGCCCCTTCCCCCCGCCCCTATGTCCATGCCTCACATCAAGCCTCCCCCAACCACACCCATCCCACAGATGCCCAACCCACAGTCTCACAAACACCCGCCCCACGCCTCAGCGCCTCCATTCCCTCAGATGCCTTCAAACCTGCCTCCACCTCCTGCCCTCAAGCCCCTCAGTTCTTTACCCATCCACCATCCTCCATTAGCACACCCCCCTCCCCTACAGCTCATGCCTCAGGGGCAGCAGCTCCAGCCTCCACCAGCCCAGCCCCCCGTTCTCACTCAGTCCCAGAGCCTGCCCCCATCAGCCAGCCACCAACCTCCTCAAGCCCCTCCCCTGCCGCCCTCCTCCGCAGCAGCAGCCTCACACCCCGGCGGACCCCCGCAGCCGACCTTTACGTCGCATCCTTTCAATACAGTTCTACCTCCGTCAGGCCCTCCCCCCACCTCATCAAACTCTATGCCTGGCATACAGCCGCCTTCCTCCTCCGCTCCCTCCTCCATCTCCATGCCACTGCCTGCCTCAGTCCCGTGTGCCGGCCCCGGCCCGGGACTCCCACCTGTACACATCAAAGAGGAGCCTCTGGACGAGATGGAGGAGCCAGAGAGCCCCCCACCCCCACAGAGAAGCCCCTCCCCAGAGCCTACCATCGTCAATGTGCCCAGCCATGCCAGCCAGTCAGCACGGTACGTCTGCACATACATTTCTACACAAACACGATCTGTAAGAGAGAAAAACACACACCTACACAAGATGCTATTCATCAGCACTTACTGTCTTGTCTGAGGATGCTGATTAGCTCTCAAACACTTCCAACAACAAAGACACGCTGCCTTCAGATTTGAAGGCTTTGATGTAAGCAACAAATCGGATGTCCTCAGCAAAACAGCCATCCAAGGCCACAATTAGCCCTGAGCTCTGAGAGGCTGATGGCGAGGAATTATCAGGGATGGAGAGCAGGGAGATTAATTACAGTGAGATGCGAGTGAACCGAGGCATCTGAATATGAGTATCTGTAGTTGCCTTGTGCTTAAGTGGCTCTCAGACAGCCAATGAATAGCAATGAGGGTTTTAATACATACTCAACACAGCAGCAAAAGTGAATATCAAGGGAGTTTGTTTCCTTTTGAATAATGGAGCCGTGTAAGCTAATACAAGCTATCGTTTCATCTGATGGGACATTAGCCTGCTATTCAACATGCTCAATTAAACATTTATATCTCTTTATACTGTTTTGTTTGCTTTGTAACCAGTATTAATTTATGAACGGCAACATCTTTCCACTTTTCTGAGTATTGTTTTATCTTGCCCATGACCACAGGTTCTACAAGCACCTGGACCGGGGGTACAACTCGTGTGCTAGGACAGATTACTACTTCACTCCACTGGCTTCATCGAAACTGGCCAAGAAGCGAGAGGAAGCTCTGGAGAAAGCCAAGAGGGAAGCAGAGCAGAAAGTTAGGGACGAGAAGGAGAGAGAGAGGGAGAGGGAAAAAGAGCGAGAAAGAGAGCGGGAGCGAGAAAAGGAGCATGAGCGAGCTGTGGTGAGTGCTTTTGTTTTGCTCTGCATAGTAACCATTCTTTTTCTTTTGAATCCTTCTAAACACGGTGTTTCTTTCTCTACAGAAAGCCAGTTCCTCTCATGATGGCAGGATGGGTGACCCTCATATGGGCGGCCCTGTTCACATGCGGCACCAATACGACGGGCCCCCCACTACGATCGCAGCTGTGCCTCCGTACATCGGCCCCGACACTCCTGCCCTGCGAACACTCAGCGAGTACGCCCGACCCCACGTCATGTCCCCGAACAATCGAAACCACCCGTTCTTTGTGTCCCTCAACCCCGCAGACCCGCTGCTGGCCTATCACATGCCCGGCTTGTACAATGCTGACCCGGGCATGCGGGAGCGCGAGCTGCGGGAGCGAGAGATGCGCGAGAGGGAGATTCGTGAGAGGGAGCTGAGGGAGAGGATGAAACCTGGTTTCGAGGTTAAGCCTCCAGAGATGGACTCACTTCACCCTTCCACAAACCCCATGGAGCACTTTGCCCGGCATGGAGCCATCTCGTTGCCCCACATGGCCGGCCCTCACCATTTCGCAGCTTTCCATCCGGGCCTGAACCCATTAGAGCGTGAGCGACTGGCCCTCGCTGGGCCCCAGCTGCGGCCAGAAATGAGCTACCCAGAGAGGTTGGCTGCAGAGAGACTCCATGCTGAGAGGATGGCCGCAGTGGCCAACGACCCTATCGCCCGCCTACAGATGTTCAACGTCACGCCACACCACCACCAGCACTCGCATATTCACTCACACCTACACCTCCACCAGCAAGACCCTCTTCACCAAGGTAAAAGAAAGCCCCGTAGACATGCATGCAAACACCACTTATAAATACTGCATTATAACAGAGCAACTAACTTAATTCTAACAACTAGATTATATATTGTATTATATTCAAATTAATATATTAAAACATAGTTTTGCACTTTTGTGTGTGATATTCATGTTAGTATGTTATATCTTGTGCTTAAATTATGTATTTTGACATAGAAAGGGTGACGAGATAAAAAAATATATTTATAAAGTAAATATAAGTAAAAGTATTTTTTAGGACCAAAAATAGAGCCTAGGGGCACTCAGATAAATCGTTTCTTATTGGACATGCGTGAAAAGCAAGTTCATATTTAATTGTCTCTGTAGGAATGTACAGCGTTGACATATGAGATTAGATTAAGGCATATTATAAACTCAGAACATTTCTGATGGAGCCAACAGATGCTTTACAGAGGATAAATATAGTAACACTGTCCCTGCACTCTTTTGGTCAACCTTGAGAGGAGGAACATTATATTAAGCTGTGTGTCACTAATGCCCAAAGCATGCACTGTCTGTGATACTCTGTAATGAAATGAATGTACCATTAACCTTATTCTCTGCCCCCTAATAGGTGGGGAGTGTCTAGTGTGTCCTCCAGGCTCCGGGGGCCATCCCCTGGTAGACCCCCTCGGAGGCCCTCACCTGGCTCGCTTCCCTTACCCCCCCGGCGCCATCCCCAACGCTCTGCTAGGCAACCCGCATGAACACGAGATGCTGCGCCACCCAGTCTTCGGTAGGCTTTCTGCCAACATCCTCTGTCATTTAAGGCCATCCAATCTATCAATCTCTGCCAGATGGCCTGATCTAATCTCCTGTTTGTGCCTCCTGCAGGTACTCCATACCCCCGCGAGCTGCCGCCGCAGATGTCCGCAGCCCACCAGCTGCAGGCCATGCACGCTCAGTCCGCTGAACTCCAGAGGCTGGCCATGGAGCAGCAGTGGCTGCACGGGCACCATCACATGCACGGAGGACCCATGCCTGGCCAGGAGGACTACTACAGGTACAACAAAAAATGTGACTATAAAACCTTTGGATTCATTCACTTTGTTTTCCATTGACTTCCGTTGCCCGAATATATTAACACTTTGTTGTTTGTGTTTCAGTCGGCTGAAAAAGGAGAGTGACAAGCAGCTGTAACCAGCCCGAGAGGCAGCGACTGACAGGTGCAGGACACGGGAAGATGTTACAGAGTTGTTCATTCAGTTTTGAAGAACAGAAAAGGCCAAGTGGATCGTCTGAGAATTCTTCTGATATTGGGTTTTTGTTCCCGTCAAGGACTCCTTATTTTTCTTTATTATAATTTTTCAAGACATTTACTTTCTTTGGTATATAGCCAGTAGTGACAACGTCATCAAGACTCCTGCATGACAAGCTTCCCTGACTTTTTTTTGTAGGTGCTAGAACAAGACACTGTGCTTATAAACAAAAAAAAAGACAAGACCGGTCAGGCCGTTTATGGAAAAAGTGCTATCTTAAACTCAACATTTATTTTAATACATTGTTGAAGGTTTTTCATAATTTTAAGAAAAGCTACAGCATGGCGTTTTTGAGTCTGTAAATAGTATATATAAACATATAATTATTATTATAATTATTATTATTACTAGGTGTGGACTCCAAACCAAGTCGTTTCAACCTCCGATATAATTGTTTTGAAGCATTATCCCTTGTTTCAGAGGGGAGCACCATGGCATTATATGAGCAGTTCCTGAGAGAGTTGTGGTTCAGTTGTAACGTTCCTCTGACATCACTGTGTTAGATTTAGCCCCACACACACACACACCATGTGAACCATAAACCTGTCACACACACACATCCATTCATCACACACCTTCGACACACCGCAGGTTGTCACAATGTGTAAACTCAACATGTTGAGTTAATCATTTGAAAGACTTGAAGAGGTGACACAGAGTCACCGAGGTTTCTGTGGAGTGCACACGGAAGCCATGGATTTTAAAGAAAGAGTTTGCACTGAGAGAATTTCCTTAAGCTCCACTCAATTGGTTTTATTCTTTTCGCCTTAAATCAATAACAGAGTCCAGACATTGGAGTAATATTTCATTTCTCCTTTTTTTTTTTTTTTACAGAGATTTTAATTGTGGACGCCAGAGACATATTTGGCTGAGCTGAAGACATTTTAAAATGCTTCAAGTTTTTTAAATGACCAGGACCTGAGTTGTATCTTTGTTCATTGTATCAGGAGGCTAACATGACTTCAGGATTGTTTTAAATGTGTGAATGGTTTGTGAGTCGGTGCTATTTGTGTTGTTGACGTCCCCTTTTTCTTCACCTGGTCCGGTCACCCATGTTCGATGCAGGGCTCGTGTCCGACTGAGAATCCTCCAGCTAGGCTGTAATAATGTTCACTGTGACACTAGAGGAGGGGCCTGCCGACACGAGACCACCAGGAGCTAGAGGGTCATGATTGTGTGCGAGCGTGTGTGTTTTCCTCACAATGTTTCCGTATGCCTTGGTTCCTTAGGGATACACACACACTCCTGGGCCTCGGTGTGTGTGATTGTGTGTGCCACTGACTGTTACAAGTTGTGTTGACCTGTCATACCAGTGCACATGAGCTCAAGTATTTTAGTTTTTGTTTTGCTGTAGCCATGAAAGAAGTTCTGCTTTTGTTTCATGCACTAAGACTGTTTGACCGTCATGGACATTTTTTTTTTTTTTTTACCAAATGAAGAAACTGTACTTGCATTTTAAAGTGACCATATCTTCCCCTTGGAGCACTATCATTTACATTTAAATGCTTGCAAATGTCATCAAACTCACACCCCCTTTTTACAAATCCGAAAAGTCTTTGAAGCTCCGACAACAACCCGTCTCTTTGTCTTGCCATCTCCCACCGATCTTCGTCTCTCCTCATCATCATCTTTGCCTCATTTTCCTGACGATTCCCTTGCCTTTTACTCCCTCTTTTTGTGTCTCCAAAACCTTTGATGTTAAGTGTTGTCAATGGTTTAGCTTCTTGTTTCAAAGCGGCAATAGCAGAATGTAAATTCTGACTGCTAAGATTTATATATATACTGGTATCTTGAAGCTTATTGTATATATGAGTAGTCGCCATGGGATGACACAATGTAAACAAAAAGTAGAAATAATAAGAAAAATTGTGAGTCCTGTGTTCTCTCCATTTGAGTATTTTGTAATTTTTTTGAAAAATTTGTGGAATTAAAATAAACGACTAAGTTACACCACAGGAAAATGTATTTTGTCTCTTGCCTTTTGATGCATCATATCGATTTCTTTGTGAACTCGTCTGTTTGTGTGCTGAGGTAAAGCACACTGCTAAATCCCATCAGCCGTGAGACACAATAATCCTGTTATAAGGGTAAACTATTTTGATTACTCACCGCTCGGTCACTAAATGGCAAAGAAAGAAAGCAGAAAACGCTTAATTCCCTCTGTTTGTTTTTTTTTCATTTGTGAAATGTGATTCTCCAGCTGAGCAAGAGGGACTGATGCTGGGTCTGTCTTGATAATACTCATGTCCTACATTTGCTCTTGAATAATAGAGTTTTTGCTTGACGGGAGAAACATGTTACAGAATAGATCAAGCATTCCTGTTTCTTACTTTTTCCCCAGCCTTTCATTTTCTCAGCTACACAAACAAACACAGCTTTAGGAGATCACCCCAGCAGCAGGTAGTAAATCTGAGAGCTGAATATTGCTCTGCTATGGTATAATAACATCAAAGCCAGGCTAAGCCAGAAGGAGCACTTGCTCAGGATGAGATGCCTTGCTATCAGCGGGGCAGGGCTGTCATTTCATCCTGTGTGTGTGGGGAGTGATAGACCAGCAATCTGTGATGGTGTGCCGCAGCGATGGCTGTCATTTTGAGAGCGAGCTATTATTCTACTGCTGCTCTCTGAAATGATGCCCTGTCCTCGGTAAAATTGAGGTTCCTTGGATGCTCTATCCTGGGGCTGTCATGTGACGGCCGCCTTGTGAGGAGGTGCTGCTTGTTGTCGCCAGCTCACCTCCCCATAAGACACAACAAGACGTCAGAGCCGAGCAGCGGCGGCTGGTTGAATAATTCATATCCCCTCCTCCTCCTCCACAGCAGCGACGGAGCGACTGTGACTTGTGTCAACTCAAATCCTTCTCATAATACTGTGTGTACCCCTCAGGCAGGCACAAGGGGATACATATTCTCAAACAATCTGCTCTTTCTGTCTGAATAGCAATATGTCTTGTCCTGTTCTCGCTGTGTTATTGTATATGCTGCAGCAGGTCTCGGACACGGAGCCTCCTCATCCCCTCCATCCTCCTGCCTCTCCTCTCGCTCCGCTGGGCCGGCGGCTGCAGAGTGATGCCCAGTTGCAGAGGAGCCTGCTGTTAGTGCGTTCAGTCGGAAGGTAGCTGCGCTCCTTCAGCGGGTAGCTCAGCGGCTGCCCTGTTTATCTGAAAATGAGCTGTGCTGACGCAGGAAGCAAATCTGCTGTTGGTGTTATTCAAAGTCAGAATTAAATAGGATACTAGATGTTTCATGTGTGCTATTTTACCAGACACCATCCCACTGTTTAATGTGTTTGTTGCTGAATTAAAATCAATGCTTTCATGTTTGCTCTTCAGTTGTGAACTGATATTCAGTGATTTTTTTAAAACAAGCAACCTGTGGTAAAACCTCCACTCAATAAATTGAGCCCAGCTGTTGGAATTTGATGCATGCAAATATAGGTATTTACTCGTATCTAAAATTCAAAAGAGCTTGTTTCAAACATGCATTCATGCATTTATTTAAAACGAGGTTCGCCCCTGCATTTCAAACATCTCTTTATGTATATCAATGAAACTACATTTGTTTTCCAAAGAAAGGTCAAGCAAGGTTTTCCCATAAAACACTGGAATGATAACTGCACCTGGGAGGATACACTTTTAAAGTCTGCTTTATGGTAAAATACTTAGATTGTCATGTTGCAGGCTGCTTTAAAGAACTCTGCCTGTAAAGTCAGAGTAAAAAAACAAAGCTGCCTTGCAAATAAACCTTCTGCTTCATGAAAGACAGAAACTGTATTTAGATTTTAATTTAAGACCCCACATATTGTCTATGACCCTCTCTTCCTCCCACAAGCTGTGATCATCTCCACCAGAGTTAATTCTTCCAGTCTATACAGTAACAAGTGATTTCAGAGTAAACTTTGGTAACTGGAAACAGGAGAGGATGTTGGGCCTTTTGGCACATTTTAATGATGTGATCAGGCAGGACATTTTTTCATGATCTCAGTATAACAGAAAACACATATTTGTTTAGTTAAGTATTGCTTTTACTTCAATACAAATTCTGAAGACTTCTTCCACTGCAGATGTATACTAAATGTAGCTACTTTTCATAATAAATGTAATCCAAAATAATTAACTAACTCTTTCATGCATGAATTATGAGTTTATTTTTATCTAGTTTTTTCAAATTTATAAAAATAATGTGTTATATGTCCACTCAGGTGGACAGTATGCATTAAAGTCTGAACTGAAAACATGTACATTTGGAAAAAATGATAAATAAAGATGTGCAAACTTAAAATTACATTATAATAACATAAGTATATTGATTTAAGGCCCAAAAAGATATTGCAAATGAAGTATTTTCAAGAAGAACAGCAGCAGTACCAGTATGAATTGTAGTTGAAATATAGCCAGTGATGCATGACGTCCACTTTAGTGGACAGGTGAATAATCATAATTTCCTGCAAACATAAAATCAATACTTTGACAATTTATGAATTATATGATTCCTTAGTTGTTACTTGATGTCACCAACATTGTTATACCTGCAGGGAGCGCTTTCCATAAAAGGATTGGCAAGATATCGACGAGTGATTCTTGGTCCATCTGGCTTTTTGTCGTCCATCTTGGTTTAGAGAAATGTATCATGCACTTACACTGACTTTCCACTGAGTGGCAGTGTATGGGATGATGCAATAGGGTCCTATGTCGTGGCTGATGGTGCAACTATGCCATCAAAACCCATGCATATACAAGAAAATACCTTTTGAAAAGCTGTCCACTGTAGTAGCCTCTATGCGTGAAAGGGCTAATATATGGCATGCGTTGAAACATTTTAATAACGATAAACCTCATTTATTTACGTATGAGACTGAAAGTAGCCATTCTGCATGATGAAATGTTTATTTTCGTATTCTAAAAAAATAAATGCATGGTAAATTCTGGGTTTTTTCCTTATCAAATCACCCATAATGCAACTAAATCACCTTCCGTTGAGACAATGGATGTATTAAGAGAACGGCTATAAAAACGTTCCTACTATTTAGTTTATTTATTTAAAAAAGACTCTTCTTTCTCAATGTAAGTGAAAAGGTATTTTTGGGCCAATATAGCCGCTTTCACACCAAGTACTTTGCTGTACTTAGTGCCGGCACTTAGTACCCCCATGGAACTAAGTACAGATCGCGTTCACACCCGAATAAGTTCCCTGAGGGAAGATTACGCAAATGAGCCACTGACGTCACTTCGTCTTCTTCTGCTTTGGGTTTACTGGCAGGCCGCAAACCACTTCACGGCGTATACTGCCGCCCGAAGTCCCCGGAGTTGGGGACTGGCTTCAGTAGAAGCTGCTGGGACTCCCAGCAGCTTCTACTGAAGCCTTCCGAGTAAATCGCCAGAACGCCGACACCTCCTCATCACTCCACCGCTCCCATGTTTTTTTTTGTGTTGCCATAAGTTATTCTCTCTCCGTTGGTGCGCGGGGCTAATGCTAATGCTAATAATGCTAATGCCACAAATACAATGGCGGCTTCACAAAACTTTTCAGTGTTTTACGAGGCGTGGTTTGCAATTCGCCCAGCCAATAGAAATTGGTACTTTTTTGGTACTTTTTTGGTACCACCTCTCAGCAGGCACTAAAAATGGGGGTAAAAGTTCCCGGCACTAAGTACTCTTTTTGGTGTGAACGCAACATAAGGGGTACTAACGGAACTAAACGGGAAAAGTACGGGGAAAAGTACTCCGGTGTGAACGCGCCTAATGACGTCACGGAGTAGACCGTAATGTAGTACCACCGTTTGGCCAATACGCTAATCTGCTCATCCTGGGGGTTTTGGTTGAGACCTTTATATACAGTCTATGGTTGAGACGTTACATTCAAGTGTGTTATGCTAGTAGCGGCTAACGTAGCTGCTAGCCTCAAGCAGAGATAAGGAGCCTGCTGAGACCACACCGACAATTTCTTTTCATTTTTAAAGGTTTCAGCACCACTGATGCAGTGACATTGCTTGAGGCAATTCATCAGATTTCACACAGCTCCCTCTGAAGCCACAAACATACTTTATAGGCTACAACTAGGTTTAAACAACTTTTTTCATTGTAGAACTCCCTGAGACCAGAGCCACCATAAGTAGCACCACAATACATCTAGGTTGGGCACCAATACAAATATTTCTGAAACAGAAGAAGGGGCGAAACTACAGCTCTGCATACCACAGCATAATATTTCATGACCTAAAGTTGGCTGCCATTTTTATCCACCTTAATGTTCAGTTCAGGCATCAATTGTGCTGCATGACTTTTCCAGTATGTGTGTGTTTATCTCTGTATGTCTGTTTGAGTTGCTGCCTGCTGTGTGTTTGAGGCCTGGGCTGCAGCTCCCTTGCGTCTAATGATATCCTGTTCTCACATTCCTGTCGTAGACGATCTGGATTCCCCCTTGTCTGCACCAGTGGATCAACCCAGTGCGGCCACTGGCCCGACCCAAGCATTCCTCACCCACTCCCAACACACACACACCCTTAGGAGGCCTTTGCCGACGCCTACTGCAAACTTCACACAAACACACTGCCTCTAGTTCTCCCACCCTCATTCTCCCTTCTGTTTCGATTGTCCTGAGTTAGATTTCAGGGGAACAGCCTGTAGCCTGCAGAGGAACTCTTTGTTCAAGAAAGCGTGCCAGGTTGGGTTCCACGCTGGCAGAAGAAGGACAATGCAAGGCTCACACGCTAGACTTCCAGGCTCCTCTTTAATGTGTTGTCATAAAACATGCAGCTGGCAGAGACTTAACGTTCAGTGGGACGGCTGCAGCACACTGAGCCGTCGCTGTTGCCCTTCCAACTGTCCTCGTTCATGTTTCTTTCTGCAGCGTCTGTGCACCGTCAGAGACACACAGACCTGACATTTCAGTTTCCTCACAGCACAACCTTTCAATTCAGCGTTCACCCGCTGGAAAATATGAAGAAAAAAGTGGACTGCTGGGGCT